GTATCTATTTATTTGATAACTATGACTTTTTTTTAGAGATATTTCAATATCTGCTTTACCAGAGGAGATTGTATTTGCAATGTAGTTGGTGAGCCTTTTGAAATCTTATGGGAGCAAAGGATTGCTGTACCATCACAGAATTTTTTATTAGTTTGTGAAGTAGTTAAATAAATGAAGCGATAGAAGTGGTAAAGTGTGTGTGTGTATGTCTCTCCCAGTCACCAAAATAAAGTAATTGAAGAAGATTAGTTACCATGTGGTATAATAGAGTTAGACTCAAGCTTCTTTTCCTTTTCTATTCCATTAACTTGCTATTTGACCTTGGGCAAGTGACTTAACCTCTTTGGTCTTAATAAGGATGCTTGATTAGGTGAGCTTAAAGGGCTTCTTTAATCCTAAGACGGATATCATTTTTATATAACACATTATAAGTAATTTTTGTGTTATTTCATTGGGTGGCTTGTATAGAAATCATAAACTCAAGTGCATATTTGCTTATTCTCACAAAGGTCAAGGGCTTGAAGTGAAGAAAAATAGCCTTCTAGTTCCTTTTCAGGACAGTTTGTATAATTACTTCTCACATCTTGATGAAAGTTTACCCTGCATTCCCGTTAAACAGGTTCTTATGCCTTTTAGTCTCATCTTTCTCTTTTGTCTTCTTTTTCCAACCCAAACTACTGAGGGAGTGGATGAAGAAATGAGGATGTGGTGGGGACTCCACAGAGTTGGAGAGATGGGAGAAGGAAAAAAGCAGTTAATGTTGGAGTGTTGAAGTAAGATGGTACTGTTCCAATAATTTGCTAATTCTGAGTCGTGGCCTGCCAGCCTGAAACAGAAAATGTTTCTGTTTTCTTTTGTAATTACACTAGAAGAATCCAGAGTGTGAAAACCTTAGTAAGTGATTAGTTGCCCATAGTAGTCTATTTTCCCAAACTCTGTAAATTGAGCCTAATACACTGTCAAGAACATAGACATTCAGTCAGGTTTGGAGTCAGTGAGTTAAAAGGTCCTAGAGACCATTGTCTAAATCCTCAACCCTGTGGATAATGCAGCCATAGACCATCTTGTCCTTTGTGCCTAGACACTACGGTGATGGGAATCATAGAAAAAGAGTTTACAGATTGTGCTGAAACAAGCAAGCCTATATAAAATGCTAAGTTAAAATAGTAATGAAAAAAACTGTAGTCCTACTATGTGTAAGAAATTTAAGAAATTGACATAATGCATCTACCTGGTGAGTATTTGGAGTGAGTAGGGGAGATGAGGGAAAGGTGAAGGGCTGGGCACTACAGAAGAGAGAAAAGAACTATTTGAAAGAGGTGCTGCCAATTCTAGATTTGCTACATATATATATTTCTAAAGATGACAGATTTTTGGAGGTGTTTATTTTGGATGCAATCTTCTGTATTTCCTTTCTGCCCCCACCGTATCCTGTGTCTTGCACTGCCAGAATTCTGCTAGCTGCTGTGAAGCAGGGCTGTGGCAAGTGGCCAAGTGTGATAAAAACCTATTTTTCATTTTAAAACAGTATAGATGTCAGAATACTTTAAAGAAGTATTTAAAGACAGATTGATTGGAGTGGAAGGAGTAGTAAGAACCTAACGAAAAGATTGAAAGTTTTTGATTTGCTTTTGATAAAATTACATTTCCTTTGTAAATAAGAATATCAGCTAATGTCTGTCACTTTCTCTCCTTTTTTGCCCCTCTTTCTCTGATCTTTGACTCCTGGTGCTAGAAGCGCTGAATAGACAGGGTAAACGACTTTTCTGATCAGGAAGAGGTGGTAGTGATTTTTTTGTTTTTATCTTTGAGGGGATTCCAAGGGTACACTCTGTGTGAATGTCTCATTGCATGTATGCATGCTAATAGTTGGGTTTTATTTCTTTATTTTGTTCTTGTTTTAACCCCCCAAAAAGGAAATCTTTTTTTTTTTTTCACTTCTACCTCTGACTTTAGCTTCAAAACAAAATGTTGTCTAAGCATAACTGAGATGATAAAATAGAATTATAGTATAACATTGCAGAATTTTGGAATATTGACTTATCAGGTGGAGAACTGAACTCTAGTCAGTACTTTCTTTAATTTTAATATCTCATTCTGCATTGGCATTTGAGTCAGAATGAAATCAAGTTACTAGCTTGGCCAAGTGTCACAGTCGGGTGAGCTTTAAATATAAAATGGCTTTCTTTTTAATGATTGCTAGAGCTTTTAGCAGTGAAGGGGGAAAACTAAAGGGAACTGTAATAGATTTCTTGCCTAAAATGAGTATTCTTGGTTAGATTAAAAGTAGGGACATGCTGGGGCCCTGAGTTATGGCTCTGAAGGTCACATCACAGCCAGCATCAGAAAGTAGCAGCACTAGTGGAAGAAAAGACAGAAGATAACTACTGATGAGCAGGCTCTCAAAGAATCTCACTTGAAAAGGCCCTTCCATCACCAGAGGTTTATTTATTTATTTATTTATCTATCTATTTATTTATTTATTTTTTTGGCGGGATGTGGGGGAGGTCCTTCATAAGGAAATTATATTGTGTTCAGGCAAACCTACAAGGGGAACGTCTGTTTAAAAAAATTATGAAGTATGTCTATAAAAACAAGTAGAATAATGTATTTCCTTTAGCTTAAAAAATTAAAACTACAACTATGATTGCTGCCCCAAGAAGCCTTCCTATTTCTGTCTCGTCTCTCAAAAGTAACATCTTCTCCAAATTGGTGTTTACCACTCCCATGCATGTATTTATACTATGTATATTTATATACATATGCCTTGTATAGTATTGTAAGCATGTTTTAAACTTTAAGAAGATAATTACCCTGTATGTTTCCTTATGTAATTTGTTCTTTTTGCTTAATACTTTTAAAAAATATTTAAACGTCATTCATAATTCAAGTTTTACTTTTCTGTGGTGTTTCATTCTCTAGTTCACATATTTAACCATTCTTCTGTTGATTGAAAATCTTCTTAACTGAATATTTTGAGGGGAGGAAGGAAAGAGGAGTATATTATGTCATTTTTAAAGTTAGACTAGGAATGTTGTTTTGACTTTCAGAATAGCCAGTTTCCTTTTTTGGTGTGGAATGTCCTCATTTATCACATAATTGGGAAAACCCCTTTGTACTTCCCAAGAGAAGACAGAGAAGAGTAATGTTTCATTAGACAGATGAACATGTCTTGTGCAAAATGCAGAACAGCATCTGCTGTAATACAGTGAGCTCACGAGGGATAGAGCTGCAGCAGCAAAAACTTGGTTTACAGCATTAAAATTCTCAGATTTTTCAAGTGCAGACAAGTTTTTTGATGGAAACATGTTGGTATTTATTGTTTATTTTCTGTGTGTTTGGAATAATTCGCAATTGGGGACTATCTTCTTTATTTTGTAAAATAATATGTGTCTCAAATGATAAAAAGACTATTTTGAATTGTGTCACGGTTTTGTGGAGCAAAGGAAAACAAGGTCTGGGAATGGGGAGTTTTTTTTGAGGCAGATAGTGGTATGAAATAATTGTTTTAATAATAAATCTCATATATGTATTTGCCAGTGTATATTTACCTTGTAGTAATTGTTTTAAAAAGGCAATCTCCGATAAATATTTTTTCCCCCAATTTCATGCAGTTTTATTTGTAACATCTTTGATAGTGGTTTGAAAAATTTTGCAAAATACACAGTACAGAGCTTCATTCAGGTTGTTCCTCCAAATGATTTGCTATAGTGCATTAACCAGAGATGCTGATGCAGCAAGGGAAACACTAATAAATGGGATGCTTTCCAGGGACTGTTGCTAAGGCAAGGCAAACACAGCCAAAATTGAGAAGAAAATGTTATTTAGGCACCCAAGATGTAGTCTGGCCAGATATGCTATTAACAGTGAATATCTCATTCTAATTAAATTAATTGAGACCTGTGCAACTTGAATCACCAGACTACCTTAAAAATGTGACTCAACTTTAAGCATATTAGAATTATGGGATAACGCAATAATAGTCTTTAGGCTAAAACTTATTTAGAATGAAAACTTAGATTATTTTGCTTTTTCTTATTGGATGGATTCTGGTGCCTCAAGAATGATTAAATGCACTGTTTCTACCATTATGGTTCTTAAGGGTGCTGAATGGACCTGTAAGTAAAAGAAGAGATTTTTTGGGGAGCGGGAGGTAGGTATGATTAGATAGAAGGAGTGACAGTAATGCTAATTAAGAATGATTTTTTTGTTATTCACTATTGGTGTTTTTCTTGCAAATCACACAAATTTTCTTTTCACAAATTATTTTACCCATGATTAGTATGAGTTGGGAATTTGGTATGGGACGAGAAGGTAGTGGTGTATGAACAGGCTTTGAAAAAATTGCTCTTGTTTTTGAATAATCTCTGATTCAGTTTGCCAAGTGTCAGATATTTTGAAACAACTTCTAAACCAGAGAGTTTGTGTGGCTAGGCAAATGAATCAGTTTTTTTTAGCGCACCAAAATTTCTAAGTTTTGTAAACTTGTTTGAGAAACTGATGGAAGTTCCTGAATGAACCTGAATAGCCTGAGTCTTCTATTGTCAACATCCCCTTAAGTTTTTAAAAACATTTCTTATTTCTTCATTGTTTATTATGGTTCTGTTTTTTAAATGCTGGAAGCATAGGGATGGGGTGAAAAAATTTCCCTTTTTTAAAACTATTTTTAAAGTATTGGTTTATGAGTTGTTGCTTTGGCATCTCTATTTTACATCTGTATAAGCTTGTTATGTGGTTATTAAAGATTCAATACTTTTTTCCCTGAGAAAAAGTACATTTCAGAGGTTCTTATAACCAATCTGGTTATAACTCATTCTTTTAAAAGTGCCCTCTTGTCCTAAGTGTCACTGTCATAACTAACTGGCATCTAAGATTGACCTAAACAAGATCTTTTCAGACTTTCTTTTCTTTTTTGGCATTATATGCTGAGGTTCCCACGTCAGTAGGCTCAGGAGGGCCTTTACCTTTGACATTGACTTTACTTTTTTCTATTCTTTTAGGTCTTTCACTACCTTTCCTACAGTGGTTGGCAAGATATCGTTTCCACCTCACTCTCCATGTACCATGCCAGTGACATCTTAGCTGCTAGAGTGTGGAGCTGGCCTGTGGGAGTCAAGTAAGTGCCTTTTTTACTATTTGGCATGGTTTTTGCTTACTTTGCAAAGCCATGTAGAGGAACTTCTTAAGATTAGTTTTTAAAAAGGCACTTGCTTGATCCTTATGGGCCAGCTCTTTGCTCCAGCCTGCTACTGAACACCTGGTAGCTAACATGGTGCTGAATTTAGTGAGGTGACTATTGCAGAATGGAACATTTTTACTAGGGTAGACCTTAAGGACTGATAGATTTGATTTTGGCTTGATTAGACCATGTGTAGGTGAGCAACCCCCATCCCATCCTAGAAAGAATCAGAATTTCTGTTTTAGTGCAAACAGTTAGTTACTCTGGCTTGGAAATTTAACAGGTTATGGATGACCAGGTGTCTGCTGTTCTAAACCAACTGGGCTGCATGGAAAAAAGAACAGCTCTCCCAGGAAAGCCAATCACCTTGACATTTATCTGAGTTAATTTACCTTAATTTATTGAAGAAGTGATATTTAGCATTAATGAGTTGTGGATTTCTGTATTTATTGCTAAAGTTGCTAAAACTTGGTATTTTACTTTTGCAGGTCACCTTGTAAATTTTGCCTATATAAATTAACACATCCCCTGTTATGTCATTACAACCATGTAAGGGAGAGTGTTTTCCTGCTCTGTCTTAGGTATTGGTGATGTGACGTGTTCACGCAGGGGAAACTTGAACATTCTCAGGTATGTGAAGATCATGATTCATAAGCATTTTATCCCTGCAAACAAAACACAGTTTATTTCAGTGTGAACTCATGATATGGTTTAATAAAATCAATTTTGCCAGTTGATTTTTCTTCCCCTGATACTATAGAACAGGGATTGGCAAATTATCGCCGAGACCACTGTGTGTTTTTGTAAATAAAGTTTTATTGGAATACAGATCTGTTCACATATTGTCTGTGACTGCTTTTGCACTACTACAACAGAGTTGAGTTGTGACAGAGACCATATGGCCCACAAAGCCTAAAATATCTGGCTTTCTTTAAGAAAAAAATTTGCTAGCTCCTGCTATAGAAGAACCAAACTTCAAGTTGCATTTAGATATAAACTTTCTGGAACCACAGTTGAAGTCAAATAGTTTTCTAAAGAGAAAGCCATGACCTGTATCATAAAGCTGATTAGCAAGCAAATATTTGCAATATATGTATAGTGGTGGGATTACTAATACAGGTTAATGAAATGGAAAGCTATGTATGATTTCAGTCTGCCTTCTATTATATTCCCCACCACTCCACCCCCATCCCTCAGTAGGTATAAACATCCATTCAGTGGCAGGATATTATTTTTCTTTTTAGATACTCTAAAGCGCCTATAAAACAGATAACTGAAAAGATTTTATTAGGATATCTGGCATAACCAAGTAGTGATAACGAAAGGACCTCTTGATTCATGCAACAAATAGAGTTAGAATGGGCTTGAGATCATGGAAATTGAGGAAAAGAGATGTTCAGGAAAATGTTTAAGGATCACAGAGATTAGTGTCAGAACTGAAACTAGAAGCTAGATCTCCTGCTCCTTGCCCAGAGGTCTTCCCTCTAGGTCTTATATCTAGTCGTAGGGCACAATCTTTTTCTTTTCCTTTATTCCTCCTTGAGTGAAAGCAAAGACTCAATGATTTAAACCACAAAAATATGATTTATTGGAGAATCAACCTTACTTGGAGTTTGGATACCTTTATTTTATTGTTTAAAGATAACTGGGGGATTGTTTCTTTTCTTTATTTTATTTTATTATTTTATTTTTGGGGGCTTGGCAACCCTTGGTTGACCTCACAGATTGTAAGGACCTTGTCAGCTTACAATCCCTTATTTTTTTATTTTTATGCCTACAGCACCTGGTCTTCCTAGGTGGTCTCCCATCCAAATACTAACCAGGCCCGACCCCGTTTAACTTCCAAGATCAGATGGGATTGGGCTTGTTCAGGATGGCATGGCCATAGACAGGGATTGTTTCTTAATAATTCATTAAGTACTTGTAGTGTATACTCAAAAAGTTTATATTAGTTGGAATAAAAAAGGAAATCTGAACCTTGTTCATAACTTTATACCTAGGAGCAAAACCAAAATCAGAGTAGATAGAATGCTTCCCCCATATGTCTATGTGTCTAAGTCCATAGACGGAAAGTGTGTGTGTATATACACACATGTAGATGTCTGTTAGCTCTTAAAGTGCATCTGGATTGCATTCTGGGAAAAGTTTAGCAGGTGTATTTGAATCTGCAGATTATGTTGCATAATCTGGATTTTTAAGAATAAATTTATTTATTCTTAAATGGATTTTTAAAAATAAATTTTATTTAAAAAGTTTAAGAGTTCCAGGAAAATGGTGAAGATAGCACACATATTTACACCCACCTCATTCCCCCTGTTAGTAACATTTCAGCATTATATGGTGCTTTTGTTACAATTAATGAACCAATATTGACACATTATTATTAACTAAAGTCTGTACTTTATCCAGATTCCCTTAGTTTTTGCCTAATGTTTGTTTTGTGTTCCAGGATTAAATAAAGGTTTATTAGCATGCTCACTGATATAGAAGGCATCTACCTGAAGGTTAGACTAGTTCTGAAGTCCCTTTTAATTTCTAGGAGTATGATTAAACGAGTACAGGTTTAACTATTGCCCAGTTCTGACTTGTAACATTTGTATTCTGTAACAAGTCAAGAAAGTGGTTACTTTATTAACATTAATGGCTCTTTAATTGTTTATTTCTAAATTTTCAGCATCTTCAGTTCCAGAAAGGGCAAGACAAACTTGGTTACTTCTGTTATTGTCATAGATTAAATTGCTGGTGGAAATATTCTAAAGTGAATTGCCTTCTTTGGAAGCAATGTGGATCAACTATCCTACTTGAATATGTTTACCTTCCTGAAAGTAGTTTTTGAAGGGAGCACTTTCTGAAAAATCATTAGTCATTCCAATTTCCCTATAAAGACCTTAAAATATTTCTTCCTTAAAAGTTCTTTACTTACTAAAGTTGAACACATGCATTCTCTATGACTCAGCAGTTCCACTCTTAGATTTATACACACAGAATTTTGTGCTTCTATTCACCAGAAGATATGGACAAAAATATTCATGGCAGGACTAATTATAATCGTCCAAATTGGAATTTTCTAAATGCCTATCAACAGTAGAATGGATAAATAAGTTTCTGGTACAATGACATAATGAAGATTAAATAGTGATCAGAATGAACAAACTACAACTACATGTAATAATGTGTGAATCTCACAAACACATTGCTGAGCAAAAGAAGCCAAATGCTAAAGAATACATACTCTGTAATTCTTTTACATACATTTCAGAAAGAAGTAAAACTAATCTGTGGTGTCAGAAGTCAGGAGATTAGTTATCCTTGTTGGGGGTTGAGGAAAGTGTTTGGAATGGGGTCTGAAGCGACCATCTGGGGTGCTCGTTACGTTCTTTGTTTCTTGTTTTGGGTACTGGTTTCATGCATGTGTTCACTTTGTGAAAATTTACTAAACTTATATACTTTTCTATATGGTTATACTTCAAAGGAAAGAGTACATAAAAAGTATTAGTAATTATGGAAAAAGTACATAGTACAAGATTCACTGCTAACATGTAAGGAATTTTGGAGAACAAACTGAACATCTTAACCTTATATTGGAAGAATATTTGTCATCCGAATTTAGGATTATCAAATTGCCATTGTGTTACTGGAGCTGTTACAATCCTGTTAGTATTATAAGATGAATGATGTAGGTGGCGTTAATGGCTGCTTTTTATTGTAATCAGGTTTTGGGGATGCCTCAGAAAATATATTTTTCCTTTTCAATCTGTGTTAAGTAGAGTCCCCAAGTCACAGTGCCCATCCATATTTTTTATTTTTTTAATTATAGTAAAGACTGATAAGCCAAGTTGTGACTTGGATATATTATTGTATTTTCACATGCTAGAATTTCTCCTTTTCACTGATTGTATTTGTAGTGATTGAGCTTCAGTCTTGCCCTTCTGATATTCTACATGTTCTTTTGGTTGTCAAGGCATCACTTCAAACCTAACAAGAATGTACAGTCCTTTCCCCAAGTGGAGCTCCTTTTTGTGACTTTATTGTTTTTTTCATATTGGTACCTTTGGTTCTTTCTGTTACTTGACTAAAAATTAATTTTTGGCTCTTTTCCTTTGTAATACTTTCCTATTCTTTTTTTAAATGTGGTCAAATACACATAACATAAAATATACCATCTTAACCATTTCTTAAGAGTACAGTTCAATATCCCATCCTTTTAGTTACTAACTAAATCTTAGTTGGAACCTACCTTTCTCACCTCACTTATGTTTCACTTTGTTTCCATTATCATTACCTTTACCCTTGTTTAAACTCTTATGATGTGTCTGGACTTTTATCTAAAAAGCAACTCTCTTTCAGTGTTTCCTCTGCAGTCAATCCATTCTATATATTCCTGCTAGATTTATCTTTCTAAAATTTCACTTACGAAATCATTTTTCGTGCAAAACTTTTGCTTGCCACTACCTATAGGATTGAATGCAAATTCCTTTGTCTGATATTCAAGGCCTTCTACAATTGAGTTCCAATCTATCTTTCTCTCTTTAACGATAATGTTGTTCTTGGTAACCAGTGACTTGCTTACTAACTTCCAGGTTATGTGAAGCACTCATACATACATGATTTTATATAGTTTAGTCCTATGACGTCCTATAATTGCCACTGCTGAAGAAATAGAGGCTGGAGGGTTCTACATTAACATGCCTAAGCTATAAGTGATGGAATTGGGAGTTCAAATACATGTCTCCATCTCCTCGTGCTCCTGAATGCCTGAGTAGTCCAGTCCCCGACTACGAGGTGCATTCCTACCTTTATCCTAGCTCTTTTAGTTTGCAGATCCACCGCCTGCAAGGCCCTTACTTGTTCGTTTCTTCCCTCTCTCACAATCTTATACTATACATCCTTCAAGGCCAAGCTCAAGTCCCATCTATTTAGTGATTTTTTTTTTTCCTTCTCTCCCTCCCTCCAATTTCTAGAATTAGCCCTACCATACACCTTGTACTGTCACTGCCTTGAATCAGTATCTTTTTATATATGAATGATTTACTTTAGAATTTAGGTTGTAACTTCCTTGAGGTTGAGATCTTAGGTTATAGATTTTTTTTGTGTCCCCCGCAGTGCCTTATATATAACAGGTGCTTAATAAATGTATATGTTTATCATTTCAAATGATAATGGAACCATTAATATCTGAAGCTCTATAATGTACATCTAAGACTCTTTCTTGGTTCTTTGTGTTTCTCGAAGCTCTTTATAAATCCAACTAGCAGCCTTCATTCAGAACCAGGAATGACATGTTTAGATTGGAGGTAGATATCTTTGAATCGCAGGCAGGAAGCTTATTTACTATTGCCACTGATTCAGATCAGAACAGCACTTCGTATCCAGAATTGGAATTTTCCTCACTGTCTCACTACTGGTACTTGAGTTTAGGTCAGCAACATATCTCACCTGGGTTATGTTGATAGCCTCAAAGTTAGTCTTCTTGCTTTTGTCCTTTGTTCTCTGTGGTCAGAACTCGAGTAGTGGGAGTGATGATACCAGGCAGAAGACTACCTTTCCAACAGCTTCTGATCTCACTCAAGAGTAAAAGTCAAAGTACAGGTCATGTACTGCTTAACAATGGAAATGTATTAGGAGAAATA